GCTAACTCTCTTTTGTAAACATTAGCAATCTTTTCTTCGATTGATTCAAAGAAACCTAGTGGTTCGTTTTCTGCATAGTATCCTTTTGGTACAAATGCATAGTAATCACACACTTCACCTTCATTAAAAATTTCTGCTTCTGATTTTCTATTAATATATGGATCTTTGATTCTTTCGAAATAAATATCTGGTTCTTCTTCAGCAGTATCATATTCTGAAGAAGCAGAGCTTCGATGTTCCACATCATCACTTGGTTCGCTATCTTTTTCATTATCTATTTCCATTAAATCATACCATTCTTCACCAGTTTTAGGAATTGGTTTCGATCTAATTTTTTTATTATTTTTTATTTCCGGTTTTGATAACCATTTTATTAATTCATCTATTGTTAAAATTGATTTCTTTTTTTGTTCTCCTTGAGTATTAGAACTTGATCCTGCTTCTGTATTTGGAATACCATCAGTTAAAAGGTTGACTGCCGGCGCGCTTGCCTCTCTCGGCTGGGTTGGTTGGTGCGTCGGTGGGTTTTCGTCAAATGATATGAGATCGCCTTCCGGGGTCGGTGCTGGGTTTTCTACTGGGGCTTGGTTTTGCGTCTGAATCGGATATTCAGCTGGTGGTATATTTTGCGTCGGGGTTGGGTTTTCAGCCGGATTTTGAATAGGTGGATTTCCTATTGGAGCTTGAGGGGGGGGTTTGCATTAAACGCAAAGCTGGTTGACATTGTCCCTTACGAAGGTTTCCATTTAAATTCATGTGTTTATTAAGATCTCGGGTTTTACCAGTTCTTATTTCTCTATTACATCCTGGGCATCTGAGTATCTTTGCCATAATGATATATAATCTGTGTTTTTTATTAATATAACCAGATCTTTTGTTTAAATTAAAATAATTAATTCAGTTATATAAATTTATCGAAATGCTGATAGAATATACATGCGAATATATAGACAACTCTGGAAAATATATATGCGAATATATACACAACTCTGGAAAAGTTTGTGGACGCAAATGCCGACGTCGTGAAGGATGCTATGAACATTGGAGAGCTAAAAAACGTGTTTTATGTAAGGTTTGTGGAAAGCCTACTGCTTCTGCACCGGGAACATGTAAAAAACATGCTAAAGGGTATTATGTTATGCAGTTTTATGCCCGACAGATGCAAAACATCCTTACTCCGTAAGACTTCAGATTAGAAATCAGCAAGAGCTGACATAAAATTTACACCGAAATTGTCCTAAAAAGTTTGCTATATTTTTTGTTATACTTTCTGCCTTTAGAAAACTAATAGAATGCTAATGCTTCGTTTCACTTCGCATTTACAAAAAGCTAATTGTTGACTAAATAGATAACTAATGCGAAGCGTAGCGGAGCATTCGGAGTCGCTATGCTCCTCTAGAACAGTAAACGTTTTAGTAATCGAATAAGATAACTATGCTCCGCTACGCTTCGCATTTGGAGTCGCTATGCTCCTCCGGGTCAGAAAGCTACATAGTAATCAAAATAAATACACCCATCGTGTACCTAAAATTTATTTTTTCCTTCGCACTTCACTTAAAAGTTCATGCTCACAGTAATAGAATGCTAATTAGTTAACAAATAAGATAACAAAAAAAACACCAAACATGAATAAATCATTATTCATTTTGATGTCATAATAAGATTTAATCAACAAATATAGAGGATGTGCTCACAGTATTAGAAAGCTAAATATTGATAAAATATTATATTTAAAAAATACACCAAATAATTTTAATCGTTATTGATCTACTATCTGTTTTATTAATAGAAAGCTAAATGCTAACTAAAACAGATGACATGCTCCGCTTCGCTCCGCAACTGCGTCACACACACCTAAGGTGTGTGCTCCTTAGTTATTAGTGTTAGAAAGCTAATTGTGAACTAAACAGATATCTAATGCTCCGCTACGCTTCGCATTCGGAGTCGCTATGCTCCTCCTGGTCAGAAAGCTAAATAGTGATCAAATTGGATATCAAAAAAAACACCAATCATAAATCAATCATTATTCATTTTGATATTGTAATAAGTTTTAATCATTGAATACAGCAAAACATCAGTCATGTACCTAGAAAGCTAAATAGAGATCAATAGGATATCAAAAAAAAATACACAAAAATAAAAATAATCATTATTGAATTTGATGTTGTGATAAGTTTTAATCATTGAATACACCAGAATACACAGAAATTGTCCTAAAAAGCCCACTAATATAATACTCCATTTGTTACCTTATTTAGGAGGGTTGGATAATCAAAATAATTATGTATTTCAAGATGACAATGCTCAAATTCATTGAGCAAGGTCAACTTTGTGTTGGATTTCAGATAATAATATTGATCAACTTCCCTAGCCTGCACAAAGCCCCGACCTCAACCCTATCAAGAATATTTGGGATGAATTAGAGCATCATATTCATAAGCACATTCCTCTACCAAAAAATGAAACTGAACTGTTCAATCTGTTGGTCTAACATAGATGAATCAGTTTATGGAAATTTGGTTGAAAGTATGGAGTGCCATGTTCAAGCTGTAGTTAAAGCTAATAGGCATCCTACACCTTATTGATAAAGTCAAATAAACTTCATTGATGTGACATTTTGATAAAAAAAAACCTGATGTAAATTGCTATGTAGATTGTTGAGAATTTTGAACTTGAAATTTTATAAAAAAAATCGAGCATTACTATATTCAGAAAAAAGTCCCATGACCCGTGTACATGATCAATAAAGAATTTATTTCTTACACATTACTTGATTGCTCCTTTGTATTTGCTATGATAATGAGAAGACTGAATGAGTGACAGTTCAGGGTAGGGTGCTTTGCAAAACATTCTATCTATAATCCAGTTGACATTTAAACAGATTACATTATCACAAGTATTGTGAATGTTAAGCTGGTTGCTCAATGCAAATAATTAAAAACCAATAAATATTTTGTGTTTGCTACAGGCAGCATGGAATGACCAAAAAGTCCTGACTTCACCAGCTATGTTTTTTATTTTATAGCCACTTTCAAGAAAGGAACACATAAGTTGCTGGAAAAGAAGTGGCCCATAAACAAGTAACCCTATGGTCTGTGTGGGGGCTGTACCCATACCCAAGGTTGTTACTATTCAATAAGCAGCAAAGTCATAATAGGGTTCCAGGTATTAGTGTTATGGTCGAATGGTCTGGGGTTTGGGATAGCAATTAATCATTCGTGTAGGGGTGTTCTTCCGACCGGGGAATAATTTATATAATTAAATTAATGCGCGCTTCTCAACTCCCTATCAAAACACTCGTGATTCCAAATAAGGGTACCCACAATAAAATAATAAACAGGGTTGGTATTTCGACTAATCGGGTTCCGTCACTTGTCTCAAACTAATTAAACAATATTTGTTTTAATAAATAATTAATAACTCTCGTTCCCCAATTAAGAGTACTAAATCGACGGATAATTTATACAGCTCAAGTGAGTCGTTTTTACAGCTTAATTGAGCCGTTTATTAATATCCGGTTAAATAATTAATATCACAACGATGAAAGAAAGTAAAGTTTCGATTTCAAAGGGAATCGTTTATTATTATTCCATGGAGTGAGAATTATTGTTTTATACAATTAGGTTACACTTATATATTTAATATTAGTTATCACAATTGTTACAAATCACCGAAAGATGACACTGTTACTAGTGCAAGCTGACTTGCAATTACATAGAGTATTAGCAGCAGTGGCAGAACTCTGTGAACAGGAAGCTTTTATGAGACCACCATCAAGAGTTTCTAAACCTTTACATGGAAGTGACCTTCGATCAAGTCCTGCTCGATCTATCCGAGGAATGTTAATGCGTACCAAGTCTCCGACGTTGGCGTATGATCAGGTGCATCAGTTTCATTCTCGTTATTGTTCGAATTGCAATATACTATCCCATCGCTTACACTTTTACTATCTTGTACTCTGGTATGCTTCCTCATCTCTGATTCCTTGGTCATAGAGCTCCTTCATTAGAGCAAAATTGGCTTGACCAAATACAAGCTCGTAAGGAGTCTTACCAGTCGCTGGCACGTTTGCGTATTCATCGCCCAGTTGATACGTTTATTATTACGCGTATAAAGTGATTGATACATTATCACCAGCAATATGTTGTACTCAAAGAAATAATAACACTGATGTGTAACCATAGGCAATCCGAAACTCCAGTCTTCACGCCTATTATCCTCCAACCAAGCCGAAAGTTTCATCTCCAGTATGTCATTCCCTTTCTCCACTAGCCCTTATGATTGGGGATGACGCGGACGACCATTTATGATCACTGTTTTCGGGTAAAGAGCTATCATAATCAGACTCTTTATTATTTGTGCCACATACTCTTTCCCGTTGTCAGAATGCAGGATCCGTGGTGCACCAAATGTCATAAATATGTCGAACAGGAAGCTAGCAACATATTTCGCCTCTTTACTTTTCATTGGCTTTGCTCAGGAGAATCGAGTAAAATGATCTCTTGCATGAGCGATCCATCAATATTCTCCATCTGGGCGTGCCCTCATGTCTTGAGATCAATCTTCAGAAAGTGGTTAGTATTTACTTGGCTAATTTTAAATATTGCAAAACCATAATACTAATATGATCTATACCTGCATTCTGGATAAAAACTCCAACTCAATGATAGGTTTTATCTCTGCCAATAGTCGCCTGTTTACACATTTAGCCACAAGTGCAGAAGTGGACGTGGAACCCAACTACGTCAATAGTCAAGTCGACGGGACGGGGATTTTTTTCTTTACTACATCGAAATTTCACTATATCGAGAATTTTCGATATAGTAAAGTTCATATATAAGTGGTGGCATAAATCTTCACTATGTTGCAAATCTTATATCAGTGTAATAACAAACGTTATTTTTACTGACGAATCTAATACCGCTGAACGATTTATATGAAATGTACTGGTACTAAGTTGTTTAACGTAGCAAGTGTCATACCGTTCAATTATGTAGAAACATTCAAAAAACGAAAGTACTTTAATCAACACGTGTTTGTATTATGATCGGTCAAAAACTATCAGGTGCTACAATCTTCACTATATCGAGATGCAATCTACTAATATTGTTTGAGAAAAAACTTGACTATATCTAATACTATATAACTTCATTATATCGAGGGAAAATTTAATAATACTGTTTTTGTATCAGGGGAATTCTTTCTATAGCGCGAAATTCACTGTATCGAGACTTGACTATATCGAGGGTTGACTGTATAATGCTTACAGATCTGAGAAATGAATTGTTATTTATTCAAGCGGGAATATGCATTTTGATGTTATTATAACCATATACAGTGAACCCTCTCTAATATCAACCCCACGAGACCGGCCAATTTCGTTGATATAGCGGGGTTTGAGGGGGTGTTGGGTTTTTAAATAATGACGTTATATGTAATGATGTATATACGATACTTATGTCTCGAATAAAATCTTAAACTTTATTTATGATAAAAATCTCTTTATTTCTTTCTCCATATAAACTAAACCAATTTGTTCACTCTTCTGAATTCTGGTTCTCTCTCTCTTTGATGAAAAAATCTGTTAACTTTTTTTGTTGCCTCGCCTCGTATATATTCGATTGATGCGTCGCGACAGACTTTGCAATTTTGGCATGTTTTGCCCTTCTACGAATTTGGCGGGGTCTTGCTGTTTTATATACTGCAGAAGTAATTTGCATTGTTCCAATGCCGTAGAATGAGATTTCAATGTCGCTGCCTTCATTACAACTATCAGAATTAGACGTGTGGAGTATGGTTATACTTTAGTATGCAAATCGTATTATAAAGAGACGATATTGTAGATTAGAATTTTAAATTTTAAAATACTAATTATATTGATGTTGATATCAGCGAGGTACATTTAATTAGGAATAAAATCTGATATGTGTTGATAGGGATATCAACGGGGTATGATATCCAAATTGATATATGCGGGAGAATTTAAATATGGAGAAATCCGTTCTGTAACCACTGTTGCTAATAAAGAGAGGTTGATATTAACGGGGTGGATATTAGAGAGGGTTCACTGTAGTCTGAATAGCTTACACAGTTCTGTAACCTGCATGCTGTAGTTCTTCATGCAGTTCCCCGATCACGCGCTCTTTAACGCAACGTATACTAATCTTTCTGATTTTTTCTCGACTAAATAAACAGATTCTCCAATCTTCATGGTTGCAAATGCTTCTTAGCCCATTTTTTCAATTTTGCTGGATGTTGTAAATCAGTTTCACCCAAGACTTCCTTTACAATATCAGCAAGCTCTTGTGAAATTAATGATTTTCCCTGAAACTTTTGATCTAAATTGTTGAGATATTCCTCAACTAAGCTGTTGAATTTCTCAATGTGAATGAATTTGCAGACATTTTATGGTGGCTTTATTAAAAAATGTAAACAAATTGGTATTATTTCGGTTGCGTTCAAGAAACTATACAACAAATGACAGAAATTCCTAAAGATCTATCCACGCGTCTTACGTGATCTAATCAACTGCACTGATTGTTCATGTGATAATTGAATGTTACATACGAACTAATCGTCTTCACCACACTATTTTATTTAGACTGGTCAAAATTTTGTTAATAATCGTTCTCATAAATGTAGAGTGTTACATACTACTACTAATACATATAATTTTAACGTAATTATACAGTACCATCTCCACAGTCTCCAATCAACACTCATATTTGCTGAAAACAAACGGGCTTCTTTACAACCTAATCAAGACAAAATCATTGCCGAAAAGAGTAAGATAATTGCTAAGTACATGAAGACGATGGCAAAGAAATGCCTAACTTAACTCGGGAAATTTTAGCAGGAGTGATAACCAAAGCCAAGTTTGTCTAACGATATTCAAGTGATGGATGAAGCCACTTGAACCAAGATTGGTAACATGGTCAAGGAGCTGATGGTGAAGATGGAAGTAAATAACACTTGTAATGATTTTCAATTAGAATTTTATTGGGCAAGGAATAAGGAAGCAGTAAAAAAATAATCCGAGTTGCGGCAAATAGTTCTTATCCAGAATCAGAATTTATCGGTACAGGTGAAACCTGTCTAATACTAAACCGGCGCTGATTAAACCGGTCTCGGGTTTAACCGGTCGCCTCACGACTGTACCAAACTTCTTTAATTAGAAATTTTCTTTATCTAAACGTTTACCTGAATGGCTAAACCGGCCGAAAAACGGCAAATCAGTTCGGCCGGTTTAGACAGGTTTCACCTGTATTTTGTTTCCTCGTTATAGACTAACAAGAATATGAGATGGAAGTAGACCAGCTAGAAATAATAAACCAACCATGGGAAAACGACAAAATAGCAGAAAAACTCCTTGATCCCAAAGGTTACGCTAAAATCTGAGGTAAAAATAAAAGTAATTCAAGTCAAATATTTCCTTTATGATTAATACTAGCCATCTTGGCTACGGCGAGAGATAACAGCAATGGTATGCTGGATACTGAGGAGGAAGCCAGAAAAAAGACAGCAAGGATAGCGCCTTTTCAACCATCAAGCCACAATTGCTCGATGTTCACTTGTCTGATATAATTAAGAATCTATTAGCTAGTGACAACACCATTAGCGGTCACCGTAGGTGCTGGCTAATAAAGACCGCAAATAACCTGTTTGGATATAATGTCTTTTTGCCTAAATTTTTTGATAAATATGTAGATAAAGCATAACACATAATTTCGTGTATAATATTATTTGTGACGATAGTAAACTTTCGTAGAATTTTGATTCGCAATACGAATTAGTGATTATATAATACAACATAGCTTTTGTTCGATTAAAGATTAATTCGTTTTAAATTTTGACTTTACTTCATCGCTTCGCTTGTTAAGAATGTCTTACGAAAATTATTTGCAAAAATGACAATACTGTTTCGGTTCTTTTTGGCCGAGCAGCCGAATGGTATATTGTAAACCATTCTCTCTTGAGAAATTAAAATGCATGGTTGAAGTCTCCCAAAGTCGTTTATACGTTAATCCGTGAATTATGGAGCCACAGATTATGTTGAATAGGAAACTTCAGGTATAAGAAAATCTACAAATAGAGTCGACGATATTCTTGAAAGTACAACATAAGCTACCCCTATACGAATATTGTCCACTCAATTTTGTCCTGGGTAATGTATTGTGCAGACGATGTGGATTGGTGTATGTGAACCAAATTGTGTGAATTACAACTTACCAAACAATTTAAAGAATTGCAATGATATTAATATGCATCGCATATTCACGTTTATCTTATCTAAACACAAGTCATGCGCTTCACATAAAGATCCATATTAATATTAGTCGATAGATTTTAATACCACTAATATTACAGTATTAGTATATATATTTTATGATATATTATAATTACCATCGCTCATGTTGTTAAATTATTATTAAATATACTCGGGTTAAATTTCAAATGATACAACGCACTTTCCGAATGCACTGTATTTCTAGCAAAAGACCTTAAGGAATATACGGTCTCCGGATGGTTTGCAAAAAAAGCCATGTTTAAGTGTTCATGAAAGAGGATGAAGAGACTTGGGATATCAAAGGTGAACTATGTTTGACATTGTGGATAAATTAGAGTATAGGTCGCTTTCAACAGCTCATCTCCCCTTACCAAATGAAAAGACGACCTCTCAACAGTTTGTTTTGACCGTTTATCATGTGATTTAATATTTAGGGAGACGCATTAAATCCATCTCAATTTCCTTTGCTTGGGGAGATGAGCAACCATAGTCATAATTAGCTAATGAGTTAATTAGCTATGCAACGGATAAACCTCAGTATCGGTGAAACCCTGACTTTACTGCGGATATTAATATATCAGGAACATCAAACTTTTGCCCTACCCAGTATGCATTTTTGCATAGTTTGACGATGAGGGGTGGACACACTTATTTTCCTTAAAAGGAATTTAGAATAGCAGTCCCCACAAATTCACTATTTTTTACACT